TATATCCCGCTCCAAAGGAGTAGGTGAAAGAATAAAAACACATCGAGCCATCGGAGGCTGGAGACAAAATGCGATCACTATCTGAAGTCAGCTTTGGTCAAAGAAGAGAACGCACATATATTAGCATCTTCCAGGAGCACAGTACTAGATAAGCTGGGCATAGAGCCCCTCTAGGCGTAGGCCCTTAGAGTATTTGGCCTGTGTCCAGTAGACATCCGGAAAACTATCTATCGGGACCGACCTGGTGATTATTATCGATTATGTGTGCGAGAACAGAAGTCAAAAGAGGTCTGTTCTCACTATTACTTACCCAGGCGGATCCATGTTCACGCACCATAATTTCCGGGTCCTTCGTTGTTGCGCCAATATATCCCGCTCCACAGAAGTAACTGAAAAAGTAACAACACATCAATGTAGCCTTTAACGAGAGTCGGTATTTTCTTCCTGCACAAGAGGGGAGAGTTCATAGAGGATACGCGTAGGTTCGCCGTGAGGAAAATGCTTGTAATCGTTGTCTTCAGAAGTTGTCTTATCAGTTCGTTTATAGAAATTCTTTCAAGTGTTTCAAGCTTTCTTATTAAAATTATTAATGAGGTTGTAGAGGCCCGAGAATGAATTTCTGAAAGCATATGTTCGCCAAATCAACTTTTGGATCCGCCTTTTTGTTAGTAATTAACATGCACACGACATATTTGTAGATATCTATTACTTTTATCTCGGAAGTGTTGGCTACTAGCCCTAGCCCGACAGTTACATGCATGGTTCCCTCAGGAAAATTACATTTACATTTCCATTAACGCATACCTTACTTAACGCAGTTATATTAGCAATATTAAAAAACACATAATTTTTTGGAGAAGTAAAGTCGATAATTGCCTCAGCTTTCTACGTTTATTTTTACATTTAACCGGAAGTACGTTTCAACGGCTGCCCATAATTTGTTCTCGATGGAAATTTTGAAGGACACCAAACGCAAAAGCTGTTGTATGGCTCATTTGACATCAAGTATTTTCAAAAAAATTTTTTAATGGGAAAAATCAAGAGTAATTTAGTGAAGCGTATGTTGACTCTCCAATAAATTGTTTAGAGGAAAACCGCATCTGTCGGTAGTGAAACTGTCCAGCAGTTTGGCATATACGCGAATATCTAACTCCTCACTATAATTAAATCATCCTAAAGTTTGTCTGAGTTCTTTAGCCTGCTTAATAGGTTGAAATCGACGAGTGCCACCCTGCAAAACTTTGGCAAAAGGTCTAGATTTTACCACCTAAATCTGAAGAAGGATATTTTTTTTAAAAACCCTTTTAACTCGAACAAATTACTAGAAATGACAGAGTTCCTCTGTGGGCGGTAAACAAAAAACCATTTGAAAAACGGCTTAAGTCAAGAGCCTGCGTCCTGCTCTTTGACAGAAAGTAAAATCTAAAGCGCGAACAGCATTTCCACAAGTACATGTCTGTTTTCTTTACTGAGCACGCCAAACGGGGGTAATATTTCATGCCAAAAGTTGGATGATGATCAGCGTACGCCCAGTTAACTTCCGCGCAGAGCTGAGATGGTTGCTATATTTCTCTGTGGAGAAAACGTGTATACACGAACGCCTTTTTGGTAGGTTTAAATAGTTTACTAACGCGATCTTCGGGGCGGGGCTTGATGATGAACTATGTGTGTTTGAAACATTTGATAGCTACT